ACTGAGCCCCCCCAGCCCACTCCCTGCAGCACAGCGCCCCCTAGCCCTGCACCGGGTTAGTGCTGCCTGCGAGAGGAGAGCGCCCCCTACTGAGCCCCCCAGCCCACCCCCTGCAGCACAGCGCCCCCTAGCCCTGCACCGGGTGGTCAGCCCCCTACCGAGCCCCACCCCTCTCCCAGCAGCGCCAGCCTTTTGCTCAGCGGTGTCTCTTCCACACAAACCACCTGCCCTCGAGCTCCGGGTCGTGGGGAGGGAGGGGCCGGGGTGACCAGGACCGGGGGGAGACGTGAGAGCACCAGGGGGCGGGGGGCCCTCCTGCTGGGCTGTGGCTCGCTGCGGGAGGCAGTGCTGCCTTGGCTCGGGGCTCTGTGCCGTGGCTCTTGGGGTCACTGGCTGCATGGCTGTGATGGGGCTGGCTCGGACTCGCCCGGGAGACGCTGCAGCCAGGGCCCGTACCCGGGACACGAGAGAGCCAGAGCCAGGTCCCCTTTTATCCGAACCCCGTGGGCTGGCGGCTGGCTCTGGGCATGGCCCAGCCGGTGCCCTGGTTCCTGGCTCCTGCTGATGGCTATCAGACGGGGGTGCCAGGCCAGGCAGGAGCTCCCCGGGCGCCTTGGCAGGGCCTGGCTGCAGGCCGGAGGCTGGGCTCTCCCGGCACGGCTCTGGACTAGGGTGACCAGACAGCAAACGTGAAAAATCGGGACGGGGATGGGGGGTAATAGGAGCCTATATAAGAAAAAGACCCAAAAATCGGGACTGTCCCTATAAAATCGGGACATCTGGTCACCCTACTCTGGACTAGCCGGAGTGCTGGCCAGGCTGGCGGGTGGGGCTAGCACGGTTATACCCGGGCCCATGGGGCAGGCCTCCGGTGTATCTGTGCGCCCCCCAAAGGCAAACAGAGCTGGTGCCGAGGTCACACTGGGGCCAAGCCAGCCGAGGGAGGGACCGTACCATGGCTTATGGGAGAGGCTGCGGGTTCCAGGCTCCTCCCAGCTCCTGCTGAAAGGGAGCTCGGTGGGTGGGTGGGTGTGGGGAGGGTGATGACACCCCCCCCCCAGGGTCCCAGAGCCCAGGCTCCAGCCCGGACGTCTACACTGTAGTTTTACAGCCCTACAGCCTGACCCAGCTGACCCGGATCAGCCATGGGCGTTTCATGCAGTGTTAGTGTAACCAGGGATTGTCCCTGTAAGCTCTGCTCCAGCGCGGCCCCGGATTCCCGCGCTCGAAGCAGGAGTCGCTGGGTGAATTCTCGGGCCTGGGTCACGCAGCCGGTCGGACTGGGGCGAGGGGAGGGGGGCAGGACAGTCCCTTTGGGCAGTGGTGTCTCTGGGGTGCTAACCCCCCTCTCTGCTCCTTTTCCCCAGAACTCCTCACCAACTTGATCCAGCAGAAAAGTGACATTACGAACCCTGCCGTGTACAAAGAGGTGAGGGCCCTGGCGGGGCCATGGGGCAGGGCCTGGGGCAGGGCCCCCCATAGGCACAGAGGGAGAAGGTCGCTGTCAGGGCTCAGTGGGGACTCTGAGGTCAGCCATGCCCCAACTGATGCCCTCCCCCCCAGCGATGCCATCCTGCTGAAGACAGGGGCAGCAGACTGGAGCGCTTTGGAAGAATCAAACCCCAAGGCATGTGGGCCGATTCTGGGCAGAAAGCCCAGCGGCCTGGCCAGGTTCCAGAGCTGGTGATTCCTTTGTCTCCCCAGATCCTTGCGCCTTCCCCGCAGTGTCGCTCCTTCACTTCCTGCCCCAAGCTGCCCCGCTGCGTTCAGTGCTGGCGCATTCCGCCCCAGAGGCAGCTGCATTTTGGGGGGGAGGAGTGAGGCCCAGGGCCTTGGTTGCTGCTGGGATGGACGTTGCTAACGCTCGCGCTCTCGCCCTCGCCCTAGGTGCTGGTTTATGAGGTGGGTTTCCTGGTCTGCACAGCCATCGGCCTCCTCTTCATCATCCTCGTGCCCCTGGTCGGCTTTTGCTTCTGCTGCTGCCGCTGCTGCGGGAACTGCGGGGGAACGATGTACCAGAAACAAAGCAAGCGCACGGGCTGCCGGCGCAGGGCGCTCTTCGCCTCGGTGCTGCTGGTCACCACCCTCATCCTGTGAGTGCCGCGCTCCGGCCCAGCGCCTCCGCGGGCCGTATTTCAGTGTAGAGCCCGAGCGCCGTGGGCTCTGGCATTGCTGCCTGGCCGTGGGTCGCTGGCCCCGTGGGGGGTGCAGTTACCCTGTATAGAGGGGGCGGTTGGGAAGGGCCCCGGATGACCAGGCGTTACTAACCCCCTCTAAGCTAGGCAGATCCCTGGGTCCCCAGGCTGGTCTCGTCCACTGGCCCCGTCATCTCTTCTCGCACAGTGGGGTGGCCTGGCCGGCTGCTCAACCCCTCCCTCCCCGGGGGCTTTATCTGTGCGCTGAGGCTGTGATCCCACTCAGGGGATGAACACATGAGCGTGAGCGCCCCATCGCACGGAACCCTGCTCCCCCAGGGCTGAGGTTCTGGCTGGAGAGCGGCTGGGACGCGGAGACCCAGCTCTCTGGAGCCAGGAGACACCTTTGGGTGGACAGGGGTTGGGTGCAAGGCCGGGGAGCCCAGCTGCAATGGGGGCGGGGAGGTGCCGGTGCCTGTGGGGGAGAGCTGCTGGGAAAGCAGGCGGGCGGGGCAGGGACCCGCCAGGAAGTCCCCATTGTTCACAGGAGCAGATTCCTGCCCGAGGACAAAGGGCCGGAAGCCGCAGGAAGTTGAGGTCCGAGTTCAACCCGGGGTTAGAGCGTTCCAGGCTACGGCACTTTGGAATGACCCCGGGGGGGGGGAGGGGAGGACCCAGCTAGTAACCAGGAATGGGGGGCTAGCCCCCCGCTTGCCCCACTGAGTGTGAGCAGCAAGGTGATGCTGGAGCAATGGCCGGGGAGCTGGGATCCGGCACTTGGAGATCCGGCTGAGCCCTGGCCGGACTCGCTGGGGCAGGTTGCTCCCTTCTGCCTCAGTTTCTCCATCTCTCTGGCGGAGGATGGAATTCTCTGGTGCCAAGCGGGAGTTGATTGGTTAACCCGTGCAAAGTCTGGAGTGTCCCAAGGGGTTATGGGGGGCGGGTTCGGGGCCTAGCTCCCACTGAGCCCCTTAGAAGGGAGAAGGGTTCTAGAAGTGCTTGCCATGGACTGGCTAGCCACACTGCTCCCTACTGGGCAGGATCAGAGCTGCTAATCTGTGTGTCATAAGCCCTGTACCCTGAGTGGCGATTCTCCTTTAGCTCCGCCGATAGGTGTTGTACTTAAAGTACTGCACAGGATCTTTTCAGGGGGAATAAGGCAGAATGCCACATTTATTAGTAATACATGTATTCATTAACACTGCATTATATGCATATAATATATTACACTTACACTCACACACACACACAAACACACTCCGTCTTGTTGTTACCAATTAGTTGCTCCCCTTAACTTCACTGGCCAGGTGAGTTAGATGGGGGAGGGGGTGGAGCCGAGCTTCTGCCGATCTGGATCGATGCTCCCATGTTGACAAGACGAGACCCGGGGTCCTCTGCAAGACACCTCACTTTTATAGCAGCTTTCCTCTTATGCAAATCTATACCAGATTCAAACTCTGTGTCTGTGTCCATTGGTCCTTTGTGCTGCTTTCTTTTGAGTGTTGTCTAGGGTTACCATACGTCCGGATTTTCCCGGACATGTCCGGCTTTTGGGGGCTCAAATCCCCGTCCGGGGGGAAATCCCCAAAAGCCGGGCATGTCCGGGAAAATCGGGAGGCTCGGCCGGGGCCTCTTTGTCCGGGGTCGGGGGCATGGTGCCGGGCCGGG